AACGCGCGAACGACGAGTAGACAAAACGTGCATGCCATACTACCCGACAAAATTATTTCAAGAATGTACAGAAAGAGAGATTGTCGCTTCGGACGTGGGCACTGCTTGACAACCTCCTCTATTTTATCTAGACGTTGAGCCTCAAGAGCGATGCCCATTGCATGAAAAAACTCACCGTCTGCATAGCAACGTTGAAACATCCGTTCAACAACATCAGCAAGACGTGGATCCAGTGGAAGATGCACATCCGAAGAACATCTGTAGGTTTGAATATAGGTATCCACGCACTTAGAGCTGAGCATCTCAACATACTCCGTTCGTGCTCCAACATCGAAGTGCCTACCCGCTCCAAGAGCAAGTCTCAATGCGTCATCATATTCTTCAAGATGAAAGAATATTTTGCTGGCAACAGCAGCAGCGATCTCATGAGATTCGAAATTTTCGTCTTCACTGAGCTCTTCGATCAACGGTATTGCGTCGGATATCTCAGACCAACATTGATCAACAATTGAGTAAAGGCGCTGGATCGCCGTTTTCCGTAACACGGGGCTTTTTTCCAGGAGTACGGCTACCAGCGCGTCGGCCGTCATCAACGATTCGTGGTGGAATAGATCCATGCTCGGCGAGCTACAGCGAACGCGATTATTGGGTCTGCTTTAAGACTTAGTTGATATCTCAAGATCTCAAGGAGCCCGGCAGCAAGGCCAAAAACCACCATAGGGCTAGGACCCCCCATAGAAGAACTAATTTATTATTTCTGGCCGCCGGCCGTAGTATGCCACAGAGGTCCTCCGTCGACCGCGCGCGCGCGGGTCGACCGCCGGACTGAAATTTGGGCAAAATTGTTTTAAAATCCCCCCCCGGCAGGCGAGCGCATTAAGTTAGCGCGCTAGTCGTATCGATTGGGACACTTCTTAGGGTGTGGGGTCGCCGGTTTGGGTTGGAAATCGCAATTAAGTGTCCAACAAAGCGCTTACTTGAACACCTCAGAGTATTCGTTTTCAGATTTTGTTTTTGCCTGCCAGTGGCTCGGCAGTGCACTACCCTCGGACATCAGGTACTACTACCCCACCACAGGTTAAGGGCAGTCTAAGTGGGTGCTCGAGCGTACCTACAAAGGAGGCTACTCCTCAGGGGGGGCACGAGTGTGTTCTGTGAAGTGCCACGTACGTTGGAGCTCTAGAGTTCACTGGGCATGGTTTTCTGGTAAGCTCGACGGTAATGGAAGCCCAACCGGACGGCGGGAGGGTTACAAGGCTGGTCGCGGAAGGGCTCGACCCCATCTCCCGAGCCCTTCCAAATCCTGAATGGGACAGCCCTGATCAGCTTGTGGGCGCCGTATCTTCATCCACTGCATTCGCTTCGTCGCGTTCATGGCCAGTAAGAAATATATAGATCCAAAGCTTACCCTAGTTCCTTACCAAATTGAGGCTTTGCGTTGTGCTCGGCACGATGTGTTTCTGGTTTTTGGGTGACGATGATCCATGCCGCTTCGGCGCTTCGGCTACTTTAACTTGCACTTCAACGTACTGTGTTCAAACGCGGCCGTTAGTGGTGCTCCATCGCGCGCTCGTTCTTCCGCGGCCATGCAGGGCCTGCTGGCGGGCGCGACGCCCGCGGGCGGCGCGCCTCCGGGTGGCCAGGCGGGCTCGCCTCGGCCGACGGGAGGGGGTACGGCAATTTGCGGCCTCCATTCCGTGTCGCTAGGAACGGACTTAAGAGTCTCTTAAGTGCCTACTACTAGTACTAGGATTAAGCTAAGTTATAGTCATTTCTTACTGCCCATCATCGTGATGTTGCGTTGGGCTCATCAACGCGAAGCTCGCATGGGAGGCGCGTCCGCAGGAGTCGTCGCCCCTCCGGGGCTCCGAAAACAGACCCTTCACCAACGTACGTGGTACGGCCGCCACGCGGCCGTGCTCCCCCTGTGGACTCGGGATGGGGCCCCTAGCGGGCCGCTCGGGGGCTCTTTCTCTCCAATCTACTTCGCTACTAGTATTCAAGTTTAGTTGAGGGGCCTTACAATCCCCCGGCGGCACCTTCCCCCGCGCACAACAGGCAGCACCAGGCTCCAGCGAGGTAGCCCTGTCGCCGGACAGTGCACCCAGCGCGATGCTCCCCGTAGCGGCCTGCTCTGAGGTGAGAATCCCCTGTCTTGTGCCGCAAAGGCAAGGGCATTGCCGGAAATCCCCTGCCTTTTGGTGTGCTAAGCCGCGCGGTCTCCCCTCTGCGTCGACTGGCGGATCTTGCCTGCGCGGACTGTAGCCGCCAGTATCAAACTTTTTTAATTGCCAAGAAGGCCTGGCGTGCATCTTGGTTGTTGTGTCCTGGACCGGGATCGAATCGTATGGTGATGTCACATGGTGCTGGGAGCGCAAGAAATTCGTCGATGGAGAGGCATGTTATCTGCCCCTTGGGATGCTGAGAACGACGGAGGATGTGAGATTCGTGCTGGGAGGCACAATGGCTATGTGACCTCCAAGCAAGCTGCTGGGGATCATCTGATGAGACTACTGCAGGAGTGGATTGCGGCTCGAGTGTGAATATAGGCTCACCCTGAACGCAAAGCTGGATCGTGACTCGGTTTTGGGTAAAAACACCCATGGCGATGCGGTAGAGCCCCGCACAGGTTGTCGTGATGCGCGCCTCCTTTGGGCGCCAGACAAAAAGCTCCGGTGAAGAATTGAGAGCCTCGTATTCCCAAGGGAGCAACCCCCCCCTGGAGAGCTTACCAGAGCGCCACAGCCAGCGCGCATGCCGAACTCGAGGTTCGCATGCAAGGAGTCCCGCCTGGAGCTCTTTAACTATCTTTGAGATCTTATCAAGTCGGCACTGTACCGTTGACAACACACCATGGCCGACAACATGAACAAGAGCCTTTCGCTCGTTGCTGCATTTTTCAACTTCATCACTAGAGTGATATTGTGGTGTACCAAGGCTCTCGCTGCATTGTTGTCTCACTGCTGGCGCGTTCCAGCTATAGAGGCTGTGTTTTGGGTGCAGTTGGACAAACAACAAAGAATACACGAACGAACAAAATTGAACTATGCATCTCGAACGAACAGACTGAAGTGGGGCTCTGATTCGCGCTGTGAACCTTCATCTTTCTCTACCCTCGTGGATATCAACGCCGCGTCATTGAGCTGTCGTTCCACTGCAGATAGCCTCACCTCGTGGCTCAGGGACTGAGCTTTGAGCTCACTGTGATGAGACTGGGCAACTCGATGGGTCTCCCGCAGGTCGCTTACATCTCTCGCCAGATGGTGCAACGATGCCCGCCACGATGCATCTGCAGAATTAAGGGCCTCTCGAGCGATACCATCATTGGTTCCTGTCCTTAAATAATCACACTTAGTATGAGATGTGAGCAAGTGCCCTCGGAAAGCGCCCAGTTTATTTTCTAATGCAAGAAGACGACCAACAACGTCACCTTTTGATTTAGATTAAGATGAATGAGATGTGCTACGAACACCGCATATGCTATTTTCCAATGAGTTGTGCCTGAGATGTGCTTCAATAGCGCTCATCCGGGTCCTGAAATCCCCATCCGCTGTACCGGTATGTGCAGTTGCCCTCGATTCGGTCATGTCTGACATGGCTTTGGAGCTCCTTTCTATCTGGGTCAACTGGTGCTCGAGTGCAAGACGAATGGCATGCTCACCTGGAGGACAGGTGACCTCGACGCATAGACATATTAGACGCGGACGCCTTGGTCACCCTCCTTGTAGAATTGCTTCAGGGCGCGCTCCAATGACGAGAGGGCTCTAGTCACGTCGCTTTTATAGGCTTTGCGGTTTAAGATGCGTACGACTTCATCACAGCGCTTCTCCACGACATCGCATCGCCGCGAAGTGTCAACTTCAACAGAATACACAATGCGCGGTGGGCTACCAGCTTCGCGCGAGTTTGATTGGCGAAGCTGCGGCGATTCTGAAGTAGAGCAGCTCGCATCGAGACTGGGCCGGTCCTCAATTAGGATGGTTTTCCTGAGCATCTCACACTTGCGATGCGCAATTTCTCCCGCCTATGTTCTGAACAATGTGAGCCAGGTTTAGTCGGCTCACGCCAGGTTTAACATATTAATCTTGACACAGGATTACTGCTAGTAATGACATCTCTGCTCTTGACGGCAAGTTCCGCACCTCCGCATCCAAGCAAGATATTGACATGGCTGCTTCCGTTGCGAGCTCCTTGGCATCAACGATATCCCGTGTAAGCCGAGACAGGACTGCCTCCTGCTCTCTGCATTTGTGGTTTGGTGCCGAGATCTCACGTGAGGCAACAGCGGCGGCATCTATAGCCAGCTTTGGGGCCATCTCATCAAGAATTAATAATACGTTGGCGCGGAGAAGGTCGTCAGAGACTCCACGCCAGGATGCCGCTGCCCGTGCCGCTGCGGCGTCCGCCCGCCCCGCGTCCAATTCGAGGCGGATTCTTGCCTCAAAAGCACACCATTGCTCAACATTCGTTGGTTGTCCGTCGCGATCATCGCGATGTTCAGACGCCGCCCGCCCTGGCGTTTGCATGTGAGACCCCTCTAGCCGAGACTCCAAGGTTTTGATCCGGCCCAGGAGTCGAGATGACGACTCTAGTGATTTTAATCGTTCCGATTCGATCGCTCTCTCCAACGCTCCGACTCGAGTCGTCAATGACGTGGATGCGTGTGCCAATGTCTTCATTGCCTGTTGCATTCCTATCGGTATCCCCGATATTGCGTTTGCATTGTCGTCATTGTTCATTACACCACTTTATCAAGGAGTTATCTCAAGACTCAAGTGCAAGGTAAGGTACGACGAAGGCAAGCAGGCTGTTGAGAGGCCAATGATAAACGGCGACTATCGAGGCCAGAACGCGAGTGTGATTAAGCACAATCAAAGTGCGCTTGGCGATAAGCCAGCTACCTAGGGAGCCTACATTCCGCTCTTTGGGCTATGCTACCCTAACTCGGGACTATGCTATCCTCCCTATGCTGGGACGCTCATACTATAGAGCTATGAGTTCGGACTCAAAGACTGAACGAGCAGTACTGGAAGAGGGGAGCATGCAATCCTAGTTAGGACACTGGCTGCCCATTATTAGCTGAATTCCGGGACCGAAAATGGGCTCTCTGGACACCCCTTCGGTTCGCTGTCTATAAGACTTAAAACTGGATTCAAGTTGGAATGTATTACTATCGCGACGTCACACTATGGAGATGACACTGCACTCCCGGGGGCCCCCATAACGTTGACATCAAGCCTACATCAACGTTCCTTATTACCCTAGTTTGGGGTATCTCTCTCTAGCAAGCCCACTGCGCTGCTCGGCGCTCGGACGGGGACACGTGTGCACCCGCCGGCCGCGCCAATCCCGTCTACAGGTAGTGCAACTGGGGATGTAGGGATGGAGAGATACCAAAGAATAGACAAAATCGGAGAAGGTATTCAATAAGACGCAGTGCGGATGCATTGGGGAGTATTTAGAACGCAGGTACGTATGGTGTCGTTTACAAGGCGACAGATAAGGTAACGCGCATATACATATGGGTCTACACATATAGTGTCGTTGAGAAGGCTGATTAGGCAACTGGCGAAATAGTCGCACTGAAAAAAATACGGCTCGAAGCGGAAGATGAAGGCATTCCATCGACGGTGCACACCCCCCCCAGTCCACCATCCCGCCCATGTTTGATGTGACCATCAGTCGTCCGCTGAAGGCTATCAGGGAAATATCACTTTTGAAAGAGCTGCAACATCCAAATATCGTGCGCCTTTACGATGTTGTTCATACAGAGCGTCGGTTGACACTTGTATTTGAGTATCTGGACCAGGACTTAAAGAAGTACCTTGATATTTGCGAGGGTGGGCTCGAGGCAACCATACTCAAAAGTTTCTTATACCAACTTCTTTGTGGTGTTGCTTTCTGCCACACACATCGCGTGCTTCACCGCGATCTCAAGCCACAGAATCTTCTCATCAATCGTGAGGGTAAGTTAAAGCTTGCTGATTTTGGTCTGGCGAGGGCTTTTGGTATCCCTGTCCGCAGTTATACACATGAGGTGCAATCTATTCAGACAAACTTCAAGCCAGTAACATAATATATAGGTTGTAACTTTATGGTATCGTGCACCGGATGTGTTGATGGGATCACGGACATATTCAACCCCAGTCGACATTTGGTCTGTCGGATGTATTTTTGCAGAGATGGCCACATCAAAGCCCCTGTTTGTACCGCACCGTGTCCAGTATCAATTCTGTTGTTGACCTTATCAGCCAACTTAAAAGAATAATATCAGGCAGGGACATCGGAATCAGACCAGCTAAAGCGCATCTTTAAGACGCTCGGTACGCCGTTGCCTCACACGTATCCTTCTGTCGTAGAGCTTCCCGATTACAATCGTGATCCAGATATCATGCAATACCCAACACCTCGTTCTTTTGCTGATGTCGCGCCGCAGATAGATCCCACGGGCCTGCATCTTTTAGCACAAATGCTCACCTATGATCCCGTCCAGCGTTGCTCGGCTGCTGATGCCATGAAACATGAGTATTTCAGCGCTGACTCTATCAAGCAGCAGGCACCGAAATAATGCACCAGGGCACTGGGAGGCCTGAACGTCCTGGATATACGAATGGCAATGTTTTTTTGGTTGGCCATAGCCGGGCCATAGCATGAACGCGGGGAATTCGATGCGCTCCGGTTTTAGCCCCGACCGGGGGCCCGGCGCCTGAATAAAGCAGCGGGCCCGCAAGTAAAGCCTGAGCAAAGTCCCTGGCCGCCGGTGTAGGCCGTCGGCGCTGTGTTGGAAATTCGACTGTAAGGGAATGTAGGCTCCTTCACTATAGACTAGAAAGGTAGATATTTACACTGCCCGCTAATCCCGGGATCTAGCAACACTAAGTTGGCGAGCTGCCTATGCAACTCCCAGGCTCCTCGGTCACTAACAGTGTGCAATGGAAGGAAGGAAGATAACCTTGAGGGTAAGTTGAGGTAGATCTTGAGGGTAAGTTGAAGATGAGTCAGGAAATAATCCTTGAGAAAGCGCTAAGGCTAGTTGAGTCCTACATGTCCAGCCACGACACCTGGGAGCAGCCCTTCCAGGCCACTATGGCCTCATCAGAAATCACAGACATGTTTTCAAGGTAGCTTGGAATCGCAAAATCGCAGTACCGTTGGAGCCGAGGTACTGTCGGGGGCTTTTTAGGTAATAATAAACCGAAACTCGGTGGGTATAAGGTTGCTGACCGCCGGCGTGCTTGTAAACAATGGCCCCCAGAACGATCGTATTTGCGACCTTTTTCATTTGCAACGCACGCGCGAATCGGTGCCGGGGAGAGTTCTGTGGCATCTCTTCTTCTCTGAGAGCGCGCGGCGTAGACCTTAGCAAGGAGCTCATCCCGAATGTTGTGTGGCAGACTTGGAAAATGTCAAAGTTGGGATCCAATGCCGCCACGAATCGTGCCCATATCCAGTCCATGAATCCAACATACTTGCACCGCTTCGTTAACGACAGCGAGGCGGAGGCTTTCATTGCCACGGAGTATCGAGGTCGCGTCGCGGACGCCTATTTTTCCATAAATCCGAAGTTTGGCGCAGCACGGGCAGACTTGTGGAGGTACTGTGTACTCTACAAGTACGGGGGCTGGTACATGGACCTTGACGTACGTTGTGATATCCCACTCAATGATCTTCACAGCCCAGCTGATGGGCTCGTCCACTCATACGAGCACGTTCGACTTCCGCGGCATCCACCTCGACCACTACGATGCGTCGCTGAGCCATGGTTTGACCAAGTGGCACCGCTTTTCGACCGTGGTGCTATCCGGCGCTCAGGCTTCAAGCCATTCACTGTTGCGCAGAATTTGATCGCGATTGCCCCCAAGCATCCCATCATGGCCACTGTCATCGAAAAAGTTGTTTTTGCCCTTGAACACCTAGACGAGACACAATGCCAAGTCCCTGTAGGAGGTGTCGCGCCAAACGACCGCGAAAGGGAACGGAACCACAACTGGTGCTGGATGCGAACCATTTGGCTCACAGGCCCGCTCGCCCTTACCGTCGCATTCCATAATTACACGCACAATCCCGACATGCAGTCGGTACAAAATCCCAGCATCGGCACTCGTAGGGTTCTGGACTTCCGACATGAGCCATTCAGGAAGGCGTGCTTCACTAATCGGAAAGTAAACGAAGAGATGAACGCACACAAGCTGAAGTATACTAACTTCCCAGACCAGACTCCGTTCCTTGCGTGACACTTACGGGAGGGGAAACGCATCCCCGCGTGCCCCCCGGACGGTCGCTGGTTAGCCTTTGTCGTCGCCGACGGCGTCGGCAGGGACGCCGGCTAATATTAGGGTGACAGTATTCCTGCGGCGCCCCGGGGGCCCGGGGGCCCACTGTCCAGAGGGGCTGCTGTAAAGAAATGCAAGCTCCTTCACTGTAGACTAGAAAGGTAGCTATTTACACTGCCCGATATACCGGGATCTAGAAGCGCTAAGCCGGCGGGTCGCCTATGCAGCCCCCAGACTCTGACTCCTCGGTCATAGCCTAATCCTCCAACAGCTGATTCAGCGGCTGGGATAAGGAAAGTAACAAGAAGAGAGAGAGAGAAGAGAAAGATACCAAGATACAATACCCAAGGGGGGCAATGAAAAATAGCCAATAACTAAGGGAGCAGCGAGCCACTAAGGCTCCGTTCGCGATCTAGGAAGATTGTAGCGGGAATTGTCCCTTCAAGGTATACTTCTCTTACTAGCTTGAGGTTCACAGTGCAGTGGATACGCGCCAGCTTAGTTGCTCACTTGTATCTTTTGTACGAGGATACGCGGATGCGGTATCCTCTTCTTTCTTTCTCTTGCACACTTTTAGTGACCGAGGAGCCTGGGAGCGCGATTGCAGCTCACTGCTTAGTATTACTAGATCCCCGCCGGTTGGTAGGGCAGTGTAAATATCTACCTTTCTAGTCCATAGTGAAGGCTTTATTCCCTTTACATTTGGTCCCAGCTACCGGAAAAGCTGGCGAGCTCGGAAAGCAGTAGCGGAAGCTCAGGTTCTGACCCATACAAGATGGCCGGTCGCGGCGCCTCAAACTGAGGCCTAAACTGAGTCTGCTGAGTTGGCAGGGGTTGTAATCACCAACCCAGAGTAGAGTAAACCCAGCAGATCGCAAGTGTGTTTAGTCCACTATACTATCGGGAGGCGGGCCAGCTGATAGGCGCGAATCCCGAATAAGAATGTCGGTCCCCGACTGGGTCTTGCGCATAATGTGGGTCGTAAAAACACGCGTCACCTTGCGTCGACGCTGATCACGCTTCGTCCTTGGTGAGTTAGCATCGGTCGCCTTGGTTTCTGGGAGTTTGACCCCGAGGAGTTCATGGAGGTCTGCGGCGTCCTTTGAGGCGATGAGACCCTTGGCCTGAAGCGCGACGACATGGAGTGATGCACGGCGCTGCTCTGCAGTCGGCTCCTTTTTCTTTGATTTCGTGGCAATGTGAAGATCCTCAAGGACGCCAGCTTCCCCTCCCTCGTTGGAGAATTTCTCGTGCTTATCGGTGGCTATCAATTCGGGCGAAGGCACGGTTTTGGACAAGTATGGCGCGTGCCCAGTAGATTCCGGCGCACTAGAGGTCGCAGCAAACGCGCTGCAAGACCCAAGCTGGTGATTCCCCCTGGCGCCGGTCGGGGGTTTCTTGTCGGTGAGTGCGCGACGCCGATCATCTGCGTCACCTGTAACCGGGAGGAGGGAAGAAACAAGCCGTAGATCTGCCTGTGTTTTTTGTAGGTGGGTTGTCAGCCATCATAAATGAGAATATGGACGACGGAACTTTTTAATTTTTGTGTACATGTGTGAAACCAGAAGCTTCACGGCCCAGCATCTTTTTGGCTCGACGCAGAGCCTTGGGTGTCCGGAGACTCCTTGCCGGCATGTGACCCTGTCGTAGTGACCGCCCTTGTGTTGCGTGGAGCTTCTCCAGCACCAAAATCTTAGGCGAAGTCAGTGGCGGTAGCTTAGTCTCAACTTTTTTTTTGCTGTCTTTGGGTGCTCGACGTGCGATCTTGGTTTGCGATTGCCAGGTCTCGATTGCTGGATTGAATGATGGCAGGTATCGGTCTGCACCAGGAACATGATACCTCGGTCCCTTGGCCACAGGCGCCGGGAACTCGAGTGCAGGCCTATCGGACATCGAATCTTTCCCCCTACGCGCGCACACGTGCGCGCTTTCTGCGCGAGCACCCTCACACAAATACCAAAGGAACACGCTGGCCAGCGAACCCTAGTAGAGCCGCGGCGTCGTCGAGACCAGCGAGATTAGCAGTCGCCAACACAGGCATACCATACTCTTGGAAGCCGTATTCTGCGCTCTGGGATCCTCGCAGTTGATATTCGTAGACCGTCTGCCCTGGCAGCCCACCAAGGTACTGGTGTTGCGGCGGTCTATTCTCAATTTTCGTGAGTAAAACACCTTGATTCTTGTTAATCTTGCTTCTGTTTCTGTTCCTATTCTTCTTTTGCATCTGAACGTTGCGTTCTTCCATCTCTGCAAATCGTGTCCGCAACTCATTCAGCTCAACGTGCAAAGCCGCCTTGTTGTAACAATCGTGGTTTTCCTTCATGGCGCGATCACGTGTGCGCTGATCTTTGGCTTCCTCGACCATAGAACGCAATCTGGCCGACTCTTGTTTCGCTTGTTTCGCCGGTACCATATCCTCTGCCCAGCTACTAGTACTACAGATGTTGAAGGCCGCGCCTCAGCTCGAGGCAAAAATGCAAAACGCATTTCAGCCGTGCGCCGCGGCATCGCCGCGAGCCGAGGAGCCCGTTTGCACCGCTCGAGACACCCCTTCGAGGCGCCCCTACGCGGCAACGCCGACGAAAATCGGTGCGGGGGGCGCGTCGGACGCTGCGCGGAAGGGCGAAAAACCTGCTCGGGACGCCCTTTCGGGCCGCGGCGCGCGCGGCGCGGCGCACCCGACCCTCTTGGCGCGCCTTTCGGGTACCGCGACGGCCTCGGGAAGCCCTCGTGCGAGCGAATCGACGCCGGTCGCGCCGAGATCGGTCCGCGAAGACGGGAATTCCCCGATCCCCCGAAACGCGCCCGCGCGAGTTCGCGCCGTTGACGGCGTTGTCGACGATCCCTGGCGGCTGCGGAGCTCATCATTACCTATGAGAGGCCCTGCGAAGCTAATGCTGCGACTCAGAGGCCCGTCGAGGTCCCGCATCACACCGGTGCTTTTGGGCGGCTTTCGGGCCCGAGAGGCCATTTTTTAAATCGCTGCGGCCGTGCCCCTTTTTGGGCTGGACGACCGGGAATGGTCGTGGGGAGACCCGCGCGGGCCTTTGAAGTGCGAAAAACGACTCGAATGTCGTCGCGTAAGGACCAATTTGAGGCTGGGAAAACCTATAGGGATCGGAAAACCACGTCCCTAAATCCCGTCAATAGCTGTGCGCGCCCGCCTCGCGCTGCAGAAACCCGACAGGGACCTCGGGCTACCGCCCGGTAGTCTTGGATCGGCTGCAGGCGTCCGTACGGGCGCGCACTGTCGCGTTGAGCTGAGGCGCGGTCCTTGACTTCTGTAGATATCTCGCTGTCGCCTGCGGACCCGACGTGTTGCCGTTTTGGCCGCAAACGGCAACACCAGGGTTAGCGTCCCGCAAGTTGTGCGCCGCAATGTATTATTATTATTATTATGGGTG